GTTGGAAACGTTTTTGAGAAATTTTAATTTCTGTAGGACATACTTTTAATAAATGGTCCGCACATTTATTTTTACGGATATAATTTTAGATTATATTTATCTTTAGTTCGTGATTTAACGGTCATTTACTATTAGATTTTTCCATTTTTGCTTTTCTAACGTATTTTTTCTGCTAGGAGTTATTCGGTCATATTTGTATTATCCGTTCGACAACCTCATTATATATTTAAGATTGAGTACGACTAGCCCCGATTATCAGTATCCCACGGAGAGAGAAGCAGTCTGGGCCAACATCGGGGCACCAGGGTTCGTGACGGAGGGCCCGGAAGCGTTCCTAGCACTTCTGTAATCGTGATTCCCTAAAGCTCGCATCACAGGGCCATTGTCACCACAGGCTATTATCCGAGATACCGCGGGATATGCTGAGCAACTTCAGGGATATATATATATATATATGAATATCCCCGCACAAAACCCGTACGACATGCTTATAGAAGCACTCATCCGTCGTATGGCCACTTCTGAGAAGAAGCGCATCCAGCTTCCACTACCTGGGATAGAACTGGAAAACCTCCGGCCGTCCCGGTTACTGCGCCAGAGGCGTGCGTGAGTAGGCAAAACAACGGTATACGAATATGTACTACGCCAGATCTGGCTCCAGCGGCTCCCGCCTTACATACAGAGTATATTCAATTTCTTTGTTCACGCTCACAGTCTTGACGAACTAGCCGAAGCTGCAAACCGAGCCTTGGAGCAAGCTCATCGTTTTCAGTCCACAACGGAAAACGTTGGAAGCCCTGAACCAGCCATGGTTCACCAGACGCTTCCGAATTCTACTCTCGTTAAACCCCGCCAACGAGCACATGACAAAAATGCAAATTCTGTCTAAGCAGTTAGAGGACATAATACTGACCATGTCTAGTATGCAAACTACCATGAACAATCTGAAATCCAGCCACCGAACCCGTAGTCGTTCCCGGTCGAGCAACAGGCGCAGGTGAACCCCCGTAGAGGCGGCTTGTATTGTTACCACAGACTCTTCGGAAAACAAGTTTGGAAGTGCGAACCGCCGTGTTTGTTAAAAAAACAGCAGGGAAAATAACAGGACGACAGGTCAAGGCGACTACCTCAACCAGCTCTCCCACCCCTTGTTGCTTCCGTTTTATGTACGATAACTCGTCCAAGCTTAGGTTTATGGTAGATACCGGGGAGCAAGTCAGTATAATCCCGTTCACTAAACAGGATGCTGCCAAACCAACGGGATTGACCTTGCACGTGGTCAACGGTGTACGTCAAACAATTCGCACTTGAGTGAAGCGTAGTCAAAACCGATACGAATCCCGAAATAAAACACAATTGATCCGTAATGTTTTCCGGTACTGAAGTTGAATATTCGTTCCCCCTCCACCAGGAATGTACTCAAGGTTTCTTCTCTGGTGCCTGTTGTTCGCGTAACGCTGTTAATGTTCTCCGTACCGACGGAATGAGCCGTTCCAAAACTCCTCGCTGTGAATGCTGTTAGGTGGGTTGAAGTTCCATCGGGTTCCAGATGGTGACAGTCGGTCTTGCAGGGCGCATTTGTCTAAACGCATCAACCAGTCGCTCAACTCCTTTTGCGCACCGACGAAATTTGACCCGTTGTCGGAGAACACATTCGATGGGTTGTCTCGTCCACCCATGAATCTCTGCCAGGCCATGAGAAACGAGTCGGTCAACATGCTGTGTACGGTCTCTATATGCACAGCTCGTGACTATAGACATGTCCTCAGGCAACCGTACCGTTTGTCCGTCGACGACTTTCGTCTCACTCAAAGTGGCCCCAAGTAATTCACTCGAGTTACGGCAAAGGACCATCTACTTGGTTGTACTCGGGAACTTGGTAACGAGGCCATCAGTTGTTTGCTGAATGTAGCACTCTGGTGACGACAAAAGAGACAGTTACCCACGATGCGCTTCACCGTAGCTCTTCCCTTTCACTATCCAAAACCGACGGTGGTTTTGCCCTGCATAACCCTCTTGTATGTGCGTGATGTGGTGATTGTTGGGCAAGATGATAAGGTGCTTAGCATCAAAATCCAATTTAGAGTTTGTCAATCTACCGCCTACTCTCAGCGAACCATCTACCAAAATTGAACAAATCTTCGGAGAAAGCTGCAACGTATTTCACGTCTGTCGGAGTCACAATTCCACTTGCCTAACCTCTGAATCTCCGACGGGAGGACTTGCAATTAAACGATACGAACCGCATTAGTCTCTGCTGTTTTCAATTCGATTAGAATGATGAGTCCAATGTTTAAGGTGTCGTTACGTCCGGGTCCTTTCATAATTGCGAGTTGTAGTTTAAATCTAGTCCACCAGACAACCACCCTCAGCACCTTCGTCCGTTGTGAAAAACGATGCAGTTTCTGTAGTAGGGTGTTGGTTGAAGCAGCGACTAACGTGACGGTCCTCTTAGTCTCTAGTAACTCCGTTGCGACAGGGGAAATCTGAGTGTCGGGTCATTCGCTGGGCTGGGCTGTCAAGAAAGCTGGTCCATGTGACCACGATTTTATTTTCTCCAAGTTCAGCACACCACTGGAGCAGTGGTCGGCAAGATTGTCACCAGTTTTTATGTGCCACCATTGAAACACCTCAGTTTCTTTTTGAATGACGGCTAGCCGGTACTGAAGCGCAGCCATATATTGTTAACATAGTGAGGAACTATGGCGGAATCAGTACAGTGAGTTACGGTCTATTCGATCGAGTGAAAACTTCGCTACCTTCGCAAATACTGCTGCGGCTAGTTCTAGCCTGGGTATTTGCACTGCCTTGAGAGGGCAACCCTGGCCTTTGCGAACAGAATACTGTTATACCTCCTTCCTCCTGGTCGAGACGAACAACCGTAGGCCACTACCCGCTATCGAACCCCCTACGCGTCGGCAAAAACGTGTAGCTTACTTGCCTCCCCTCGGCGTATTCCTGGTATGGGACGGGGGAGCAGTACATCACCCAGCTTGGACAGGCTCATCCATCAGCCTTGCCAGATCTTATGATCCGCCTAGGGTCTCATACCAAACAACGTTTTTATACACAGGTCCTGCAGAAGAATCTTGTCCCGGCAGTAGCCACGGTGCGACGAACCCCATTGGGTCGTAAAGGCTGGCCAACGAAGACAGAATCCCTCTGTGAGTCTCCATCTTCTCAGGTAGCTGGATTTGGAACAAAAAACACATCGTTCTCCGAGTTCCACTGCACACCAAATGCTCTGTTTGTTGGTAACGGGCTTCCTCGTAAGTCACAGAGACGTGGTGACCGTTCCTCAACCGGGATGCAATTGATCGCTTGACGACCGCTAGACATCCACTTCGTTAACTTGAACCCACACATGAGCAGCAGCTCAGATAAGTCGCTAATGTGTCGAACTGCTTCCTCGATGCTATCACAGGATCTCAAGAAGTCGTTCACATAAAACTTATTTATAAGACAGGAATCAACCAGGGTTTCGAAACGCTGAGCAAATTGCATCACGGTCGATTTTAAAGCGAATTTCGCGTAGAACGGAGAGGAGATTGCGCCAAACGGGTGCACCATCATCGCACATTCCTGGGCCTGTCAATCTAGGTCTCCCTCTGGCCACCATCACAACCGTAAAGCGTCCTTCTGCCCTTCGGGGACTTTAACGTGCTGGAACATTTCCTGGATATCAATAGCTGCCGCAACTGAACCTAGCAAAAATCGGCACAGCACCTCAATCAGAGTAGTCGTCAGATGTGGGCCTGGTAGTAGACGATCGTTTAGAGCAAGCCCGGCATACTTGGCAGCACAATCGAAAGTAACCCTGGTCATCTGAGTTTTCCTAGGGTTTCTAACTGGTTGGTGCCGAAGGTACCATAATGGTTGTTCTTTGTCGGTGTCTTCCACTGCGCGTTCGATATAGACCAACTCTAGTTGTCGTTTCATGGTGTTTCATTGAGTTGATCGAGGTTGGTTATTACCATCTTTGACGAGCGGTTCGCAGAGTATCCAACCAAAAATCATGCGCACAGCATACGGATCTCTACGGCCTCCTATCCTCTGGTCCAGAACCCAATGCGTCCCGGGTACATCACAGCCGATCAATATGGCCAATCGGGTGTCCGGAACGTCCTCAAACGGCAGATCGTGGAGGCGAGGCTAGCGCCGCACTAACAACCGGATACTTTCGGAAGCTCTTATTTGTAGGTCAGCGATAGTAAATGCCTGGTGCACCTCTGTCGTATCTTTCCCCGATGTGGGAGCTAACTTCAAACTCAGTTGAGAAGCTCGAACTGCTTTTGCCCCATTTACCGTGCTGATTACCAATGAGGTGGTCTGTACACCCAGGTCGTGTTCTCGTGCAAAGCTCTCTCTCACGAGGGTATCCAACCCATAGTCTAGAAACGCCACGGCTTGGACCATACCACGCGGAGTCTCCACTTGGATTGGTATTATTCCCAAGCGGACCGACCCATTTGACACCCGCCCGATAGTGCAGACGGATCTCGGTATATACCCCACAAAGACTTCGTTGATTATATCGACCAGGCAATTATTTGTTCGTTGCTCGACTCCTTCATCGTTGTGTAGTAAGGGGTGATGTCAAACTCTGCAATTGTCTTGACCACAGTTGGTTTGGTTTTTGTGTAGGGCTGCTCTGTGGGTATCGCTGAAGCACACAAAACAGGACCCTGTGATTTTATTTATTGTCCAACGGATAATCACTTTAATTGCCAAAACTTCTGGTCAAGTTACAAGCTTGTGGACAACTGAGCACAGTTTGCACCTAATAAGTTTGTGTGGCTCATACAAAATTAAATTGGTACTCGCCCAGTTGTGTGTAGAATTGAGACCTAGAGTTCCAGATGGCGCGAAGCTGGTTAAAGTTCTGACGATCCTGATGCTTCCTCTCGCCAGTTGATCGAATCTACTGTTTTCTATGCGAGATTGACAGCCTATAAATTCAGTGAGTTCGTCTAAGGTTGCATCGCTGATCCTTTTTCTTGATTTAATCGGCCTCGGTCGCCCAGGCTGTCTGCAGTTCGGCAGGCAAACATCTGACTATTGATTCCAGCGTATGAAGTGCATCCAAATCTGAGCGATAATCTGGATGGTTGAAGGCGATGCTGCAGTTCTGCATCTTGATGACGAAGTTAGATAGAGACCTAGTATCACCTTATGTACGTCTCGCTTCTTCCAGCACCCCTTCAATCATGTTACGTGCCACTCAGAATGGTTGGCCAAACATTTCCTTCAGTATATTCCTGGCTTTCGGGTATCCCAATTCCGGGTCCAGCATTACAAACTCCTTTCTGGCCTCCATAGCCTTCCCTCGAATGTAGTGTAGCAAAAACAGAATCCTACGTCCTACGTCGGTGGTTTGCATTAAAAAAGTTTGTGTATTGGCGAATAAATTGGCAGTATTCTTCGGGATAGCCGTCAAATGGTGGCAGTTCGACTCTTGGAAAATCAATGGATTTGTAGGTTCTTTATTTGAAGAGAAGCCACTGTGTGCAGTCTCAGCTCGAAGTATTGTATTGCCATTGAACTCGGTCTTTCCACGTTTGGCTTGTCCTATCTGCTGTCTAGCTAATCTCAACTCATGCTCCAATTCAGAAACCCACAATCTTAATATATCAATATCCTTAATATCTGAATCTGCACATGAAACAACACTGACAGGACTAACAGACCTAATATTTGCTAAAGAACCAAAATGACCCACAGCCCACCCAGTGCCTTGCCAGGTTACCTCTTGTGGGGTTCCAGTTTCCTTGATTCCGCATCTGAGCATCTTCGAAATAGCTTTCTCGTTTTGTTCCAATTTGAGTACTGTACGTCAACCAATTCGCACTTGAGTGACGCGTAGCCGAAACCGATAAGAATCCCGAAATAAAACACGATTGATCCGTAATTTTTTTCGGTACTGAATTAGCGAAATCATTACAAATGTACAATAAAGCAAGCCCGAAATATGCGGTCAAAAGCACTCAAGCGAGCAAGAACAAAGTAGGATGTCCAACAATAGCCAACAGGTTGATCATCCACACCAAATCGAAATGTGACGGATATCAATTTAACAAATTTTATAATTAAAAATTTCCCACAGATATTTATGGAAAACACACGTGATAGAAGTAAGGTGCACCGTGATCTAGTAGACATGATAAAAGCAAAACGCAGGAGCTGTAGATTTGGTGCGTACCGGAAAAACCCACCGCATTGACCAGTAGACCCGGAAGAAAGTATGACAATACTCAATACTTCCGCTGTCAAAGAGAACGGGGACACGATACTGGTGGCAGCGCAATAATAATAACGGTATATTTCACGAAGCCCGTGACGCATGCTAGTGTGCATGATCAAATGTATAACAATGTAGAACTGACGGTCCAAACAAACATTGAACAAACTGAACTGCGCCGCCAACGTGAGTTTTTGCTTGTTATCGCGAATTAGCTATTTTTATCTAAATAAGGACAA